AGTTTTTGATCTGACAGTACATGAAATTCAGATTTATTTTCGTCGAAAATATGTTTATTTGACGTAAAATTTCATTCTCTATTAGAAACTATAAGAACTTTTTAAACATTCAAATTTTTTTCTATCAATAAATACCAAATACTGCTCCAATCGGATCCTTTTGTTAAACATAATGAGAGTATGAGTGTGGATACTAGAAACTAATAGAAATGTATTTCTCGTTATAATTTGTAATCAACTATTTCTTTTCTTCTCCAAATAAAACATACAGGTAAGACCATAAATCAATACAAAGCTAGATTATAATCAAGATAAAATATTCAAACCTGCTCACTGATTACTTGAGTGATTTTCGTTAAAAAATATACTTATACGAAATTAATAATGTCTTTTGAAGTATGACTAGTGTTTTGTGTATGTTTACATAGTTTTTTTCTACCAATGTAATTACCAATCATCATTCAAAGTCCCTCTGAGACGATATAATTGAATATTGTCACCATGAAAAGTATTATATCCCAACATCTTTCGAATGCATTATAAACAAACAAAATATATCACACAATCCTCTTCAATTTACTTTATAAAATTATGATGAAATAAAAACATGTTGTAATGGAGATAAAAATTATGAACATCAATCAATTGTATGCAACATAGAGAACGTAATTTGAATTATTGAAAGAATAGAAAGATATAAGAAACAAACGTTGAAGAAAATAGATATATTTATATGTATGTATGTTGGGGACAAAATTGGAATTTTAGTTTTGACCAGATAAAATTAGAATTCGACTAGAGATAAATTCCTACGATTGAAATAAATTTTGTATCTGTATTCAACAGAATCTTTCTTATTTTCGTAAATATTTTGCAAGTTGATGTATTTTAGTCTATTCACTCATATTTGTACAATCATCTCGCTTGAAATGACATTTTGTCGAACAAAAACTTCCATTTATTTTTACATAAACATTGTTTTGCAGTGTACTTTCCTTTACAATCGCATGTGCAATCTATGATTGAGTCCGATTCAGATATTTTTTTGTGGTAGATTGTAACACGTACATCTATATTTATATTGCTGATTGACACAATCGCTATGACTAAAATTTTCTCTTTTTTTCTTATTTCATTCCAGTCTATTTTTAGTAAAATACTTAACTGTATGAATTTATATCTAGTAGAATCTTAATTTTGTCTGATCTAAATTAGAATTTCAATTTTGTCCCCAACATATATATATTTGATGACGCTAAAGACACACGTAACAATAAAAGTGAAAAATATAAATAATATACTATCGACCCTAGAAGAAAAACTGTGTTTATGATTGTTAACTTGTTAACATGGTCGAACAGAATTACTAAATACCACATCAGCTGAAAAATAAAATAAACCATATAGACACAAATGCTTCTATCTAAGGATAAAACTTTTCATTTATGATACATATTACTAATTCATCGAAAAAAGGTCGATTGAAATTTAATGTTAATTTATCTTATGACTAAAGTTAATTTAAGATACCAAACGTAAATAATTCTAATCGATTCTATAATCAATAATTTTTATTTTAAAACAACAGAAATATCTATACTTTCAAGGAAAAGCATATTCGACAATTGAATAAATTTCAAGACATATAAAAAGTAATTCATGTTTTTTCTTTTCTTTTTCACAGTCACTTTGATGATGTGCATTATTAACTTCATCTGTATGATAAAAAAATATTTATTAAGAATAAGCAGAAAGATGGATGGCCTTCACGAACTACCCAGATAATCGTTTTTCGATCTTGAACGTGTCCCTGAGCGTCTATAACTTATGCAATTTGACGCATTGGAATGCAACATTTTCAAGTCCTTGAATGCGTTTACAGTGGGCTAACGCGTCTTTCTTCGTTCCAATTTATGTTAAAAGACGTGTTTGAACGCACCCAAAATGCAACAATTTCAGGCGTGTGAATGCATTCCAAAACCAACACGCGTGCAAACTGGCCTCTCTTGCAGACGGATTACGATACATTTTCAGATTTTGCTGCGTTTGGATGCAGTAGGAGATGAACGCGTTGTGGCGCGGTTATTTTTCGCCCCCAAACACATTAAAAAATTATTATTACTCTGTGCCGGAATCGAACTATTGCACCATAGCGAGTTATGATATAATACTCAAATCCTATGAGCAACAGAGTAGTAATTTTTCCAATCACAGTTTGAACTTGTTACTATGTTCATTAATCGCATCAGTGGCTCGTATAACACTACTTGCTGTAATTTTGCAAATAGAGCTGTTATATTTTTATTTCATGAAATAAATATAAGTAATATATTTATCGAAAAAAAATCAAGATAAATATATTTGTGATATTTAGAAAAAAAAATTTAAAATAAAGAAATAAATTTTTTATATTAAAAAAAAATTACAGAATAAAAATATCTCGCTCTATGATGAATACATATATAAATATGTGGTATAAAGACATTAATTTACATTTCTTTTTCTTACTACTAGCATCTCAATGTCAAATATTAATAAAAAGTAATGATACTAGAAGAAAAAAAATATATGCAAATATTTTTGTCTACGTAATTTTTTGTCATTATGATATCAAAACTTTTTTAGATATCTGCAGAAAAATACAATATTACGTTTTTATTTCAAAATAAACCGTCATTTTCATTTAACTTTCTTTATTCTTATAAATAAAATACTCATTTATCTTTTTCTTAGAAGCATAAATTTTAAAAAGCTGTTTATCTTTATGTTTGTAAGTAATAATACTCCGTCATGTATTTATCTTTATTGCATGAATTTAAGTTTCATTTCGAGTGATTTTATTATAGAGTAAAATAAAGATAAGCTAAGAACTCTGTATGAAAAAGCACTTGTAAAATTTCGATAAAAGAAAATAGTTGGGAATAAAAGTATCATACTCAAAGGATTTATTTGTTTGTATAAGAAATAAATGATGAAGTGGACAACAACTTTAAGAATGCAGTCTAAATGCTAAACTCCGGTTGGGTTCCAACACAAAGTGATGAGTATTTTCTGACATTTTTGAGAATAAAGTAAATGCGTTTATCTCATAACAGTATCATAAGTAGAAAAGCTAGAAAGCGTATATTAATGCGCTTTCAACAGAGACGAATTTACACACCTTAAAATGCTGCGTGTTAGACGCGTTCAAACAGCATCTTTTTATATAAACCAGTCAGAATACCGTAGAACTGGAATGTAGGAAATTGCGTTTATTTGTTCCAAACGCGTTTAGAGTTTCGAAAATGTTGCATTTTGGGTGCGTTCAAACGTGTCAACTTACATAGATTGTAGACATTCAGAGGCGCATTAGGAGTTTAAATATGTACGTCACAGTTGACATGGGAATTTAGTTGAGGTTGGAATGCATGTTAATAATATGAATCACACGATAATTAATGTTTGTGTACTACTGTATTCAACTTTTGTAATTTTAGCGATTCTAAATGATTGGTCAAACTTCTATGATTTATTTTGAATTATTTTAAAATATTTACATATCGAAAATTTTTATTTTTTAACCATTCTTACTTAGTGAGTATTAGAATTTTATGAATTTTATTCATCTCCTTATAATTAATCGATTGATGTTCGTTGCTGTGGAATATTCAATCGAGAAACACATCCTATGTCTGTTTGTTTTTAATTACATAAATTTTCTTTTTCATGTAAATCTCTTACAAAAAAATGAGCATTCTTAATTCTAAACTACAATCTTACATTGATAAACTTTTCCACAATAAGTCGATCGAATAGATAATCAACAACCCTTTTATAGTCCAATTATTACTCAGTCAATCCAACATTAGATCGGTTGCTATTCTAAATAACATGAATCATTCAATTTCAATTTTTTAACAACGAATTTGTTAACACTAAACATTTAACCAATCATTCAATCCCCCATATCATGAGCGGCGAAAAAAAAACTATTTTATAAATACAAATAGCTCAAATACTCTCGATTTCATTTCAACCAATGATTCAATGTTCTCATGTCCCACAGCTAGAAAAAAATCTGTTCTATAGAAACAAATAGCTCAAGTACTCTCGATTTCGTTTCCACCAATGATTCAATGTCCTCATGTCCTGCAGCTCGAAAAAAAATCTATTCTATAGAAACAAATAGCTCAAGTACTCTCGATTTCGTTTCAATC